TGATGTTGAGGTTGGGTCGTTAACGGTTACAAATATCGTATTTAAAGCAGCTTAATTGGGGGTTACGATATATTTATGATTTATTTTAATGATATAGAATATCGGGGAGATCGTAATTAAATGAATGTACGAAAAAGAAAGAAGAAGACACCGATTTTGTCGATTGGCAGTGGCGATCGACAAGGAGATGAATTCTCTGAAATTTTATTATTTATTGTATATGATAGATACAACCGAATGTTTCTTTGATGATCTTCAAGAGATCAGATATATAATAGTGGTCGTGATGATCTTTAGAAAATTAACCTGGGTTGGCTTAGGACTGTTTTGGCCGGTATTGAATTGTCTTCTTCCGGGCTTGAGGACAGGTACTTATACACGAAAAAGTGTCGTTGCACTAAATGAGGAGTGTCAACTATTGGCGTAGGGTGGCGCCGCGTGTTTCCATGCAAAAGTTGATGGGACATCTCGGGCGGAGCTATCAACTTTATCAGGTCGTGTTCAGACGGTCGGGACGATCGCTAGTCTTCCCAGGGAAGCTTCTGAGCGTGATCGTCCGGGCGATCGACAACTCCCACAGGGATCACGTTGGTCGTTCATAGGATGATCTACGTGTTCTGTGCCTTGTCCGTCCTTATAGGCTGATTTTTGGATACCACATATGAGCTAAATTGTAATGATTAAATTTGATTTGATAGAAAAAAATATCAATAATAACAAATATAAATGATTGATAGTTAAAATATGTGAATTATCGAATAATGAATGAATTGAAAAATGTATCTTGATCTATTTTTATTTTTTTACTTATATTGATAATTAAACAAATAAAAAATCTATTAATATATAATAAGGATTAACTTAATTCAATTTTAGAAACTATTTCCCGCCAAATTCATTAATTATAGCCTAAAAATAGTAAATTAACATAATTTCCTAAAATTGCACTTAATTATTTTTTATTAACATTATTTTTTTTATGGAATAAAACTTTTTATGGAATAAATTATTTACGCCATTATTTTTTATTTTTATTTATGGAACAAATCATTTTGTGGCTCCATTAACAAAATAACGAGCATTAATTGCACATAATTTCCTAAAATTGCTCTTATTTATTTCGGATTAACATTAATTATTTATGGAATAAATCATTTTTTCACGCCAAGATTTCCGATTTTTTGTGGCTCTATTAACAAAACAACAAGCATTAATTGCAGATACTATGGAATAAATCTCCTCTTTTTAATTCTTCATTTAAATCTCCTCTTTCAAGGCTCCATATAAATCATTTATATGATAAAATTTTAACAATATCTTTTCATTTAAATAATTTTCATCAATCACTCTTTTCGGTACCAACGTGCTAAACGACAATTTGTATAAAAGGATATTCAATACCACGATTATTTTTTCACTTCATTCACAGTGTTCAGAGAAAAAAAAATATATAGATAAATTTTAGAATACATCAATAATATAATGTCGCCGGTCTATGATACACTCGATTCCGTGAGTAGAACAAACAAACCTTATTTGCGATTGAAAGCAGTCTGAATAATTGAAACGCATCACGAACGGGAGAGCTGGAACGCATTCCATATACTGTTTCATGATGAACAGGTAAATATTTTCATTAGTAATATCAATATTATTTCTAATATATTTATATTATGAATTTCATTGTTCTTCCATGTCCTTGAAGGTTATTATTTCTAATATATTTATTGCTTTATTAATTTTATTATGTTTTATTGTCATTCCATGTTGTTGAATTATGAATTTTAGTGTTATTATATTTGTTATCGTGATATTACATCTCTCATTCGTTTGGATTAAGTAATATTTACACGCTTGAATTATTGAGTTCCAATTGTTGT